GTTTGTTGTATGCCTTCTCACCCTACAATTGTACTTGTCGTCATCATCGCCATATTCACCAATATCGTTATAAACTCACGGGAGAAAAAAGATCTGCCAGCCCATATTTTTCACTTAGTTTGTCAACAAAAATTGTTACTCCTATTATAACGTCTGTACAAAAGAAAAAAAAAAGAAAGAAGGAAAGGTACAGACAATAAACTATGTCGGCTTTTGTTAAGATGCTGAACAATCATAATGGCTACCGCTTGCTGTAAAGATTGAAAAAAAAAGCTTTAAAATACCTTATTTGTTGTTAAAGCATAAACATAAAACTTTTTATTTTGAAAAAAAAAAAAGAAAAAAATGACATGGAAACAGAAAAAGGAGAAAGTTTGATGTTAGGAATTTTCAATGAGGCAACAGTTAGTCAAAATAATCAAGGCATCAAATAAAAACATTTAACAAGAGCTGATGCTGTCTCAAAATTAATTGTTGGTTCTAAGTATTTAACAAAAAAAGCTTTTAATTTGCTTGAAAGATAAACTTAGCATCTTGTTTCATTGTTTTAGCAACTAATCAACAGTCAAAGATTCAATTACATTTCCACCAAAAAACATCTGGAAAATAAGTGCTTATATAGTATGCCGTGATTATAGCTTAGTATGGGTAATCATCAAAAGAAAATTGGCAAGCAAAAAAAGTGTTTTGTCGAATCTTATGATAACATATGTTGTGCTCAATCGATATGGCCCAAACAAAAAATCATTGAAAACAATTCTGCTTTATAGATTGTCGATCAAAAAGAAATTATGAAATCATAGGAATTAATAGAATTCATCATAATGCCATATTATGCAGAAAATAGTGCTAAAAAAGACCAATAACTGATGAGTTTGCAACATGGAAAAAACATTGTCATCAAAATCAAAAACTGTTTAGTCAATGTTTTTTTTTTTAATTTTTGATGATAAGACAACAACCATAAAGATTTGTTTTATGTTGCTTTAGGTTGAGTAATCAAAGATTAATGAAAAATAGCAATAGTTACTGCGAAAAAAAAAAAAAAAAGCTAAAAAAACTGTTAAAGTACCTGCTAAATTGGTCATTTCAGCAACTACTGCACCGGAATATGGATGTGGACCAAAAGAATACTGTTGACCATAACCGTAGGGCCAAGTATGACCTGTTGCTACAGCTGCGGCATGTGCATGAAAATTTGGTCCATATAGATCAGCACCCGGTTGACATAGATTATTCATCATATCAAATCCTTCAGAAATTAAAAAAGGTATTGTTACTGAACTCCTAAGACATCATTAGAAAATACTTCTTAAAAATATTTCTTGCTTTTCTCAATTTGATAATAAATCATAGTAAATAAATTGAATAAAGTTGTTTATCAAAAAAAAAACAAATTTTTTTTGCTTTTTTTTTTCTGACATATTCAACAAATTTTCTACCTTTAAAATCTGGTGCTGTAGTTAGGTTTCTATCAGTCTTACCGTTTGTGCTTGAAGACTGTAAAAAAGCGGCAACTGCACTAGAAGAATTAGCTGTAGATGATGAACCTAAAAAAAGTTTTGCTTGAATCTTAGAAATTTGTTCATTCCAAACCAAACAACGCTGTTCTTTACCCGATGCTGTAGATACAGATGCAACATTGGCTGCAGCAGCTGCAGCAGCCTGTTGCGCTACAGCGGCTTGTTGGGCAGATAATTGAGCTGCTGCTGCAGCCTGTTGTTGGGCTGTCCAATCGTAACCGTATGGATAGGACTGAGCGTGAACTGCATGACTGTGATGAGCCATCGGTAAGGCACCAAGATTATTAGCTGTCATCATATGCGAGGATGAACTAAAAAAAAGTTCTGTCACTTAATTCACAAACAAAAAAAAAGTGCAAGTATTAATAGAATAACACGGCAGCTTAGTAACATTTTATAATTGTCTTATTTGTTGCTAGCTGTTAACGGTGCTTAATCTAAACTTTTGTTCAGAACAATAGAAAAACTGTGTTTATAGTAAAACTTTGGTGACCTAGTGGCGGTTAGTGCTGGAGGTGTATGTGCTGAGCTTCTGTCAGATTCTGTGCTTACTGCCTTCTGGTAGAAAGGCTTTGTATCTCCAAAGGGGTTGGTGACAAAGCCAAATCCAGCGTTGTTCATTCCGTTCATAACCTGGATCATAGCATTGAATTTTTTTCGTCTTTTTTTTTCGTCCTGAAAAAAAAACTACAATAGTCAATAATAATAGATGTATAATTTAAAAAAATATCAAGAGATTTTCAGTTCACTTCTCTGTTTTCTGCTATAAGCCTGAATAAGTTTATACGACGCTAACAGTTGTGCAGGTGCGAAATACATGCAACAGCAACAGCTAATGGCATTCTTTTTAAAAGTTGCAGAAAGATAAACAAATAATTTGTCAAGTGTATTTCAATATAAAACTATAAATGGGAATAACAATGTAAAATAATTGAGTAAATAACATTAAACAGATGAAAAATATTGTAAATATGATTTATTGATAATCAAAAAAAAAA